TTTGTCTTTTTGAGACAGGGTCTCGCTATGCAGTTCAGGCTGGTCTTGAGCTCACTTTGTAGCCCAGGCTGGTCTCGAACTCGTAACGATCCTCCTGCCTCAGCCTCCCGAGTGCTGGGATTACAGGCGTATGCCACCATCTTGGCCTACATGCATGTTTTTAAGGCAGGAATACAATAGCTCTGTGGTGTATCATCACAGGTACAAACTCATGTAACTACAGTAATAGTACAGAGCTATCTCTACACTTCCAAAGGGAGTTTCTCATCTTGTCTTTATAATCCCACCTACCCACAGCCCCAATTCCCAGAAGCCACTTATCTTCCCAATATTACTATTTTGTCATTAAAAAATACTCTGTAACCATTTGGCCTTTTAAGATTGTTTTTCTTTTGAAATTGATTTGTGATGATTTTAATGTTCTAGAAAAATAGAGCCAACAGTCTTAGAGACAGTCCCATCCTGCACAAGCAGACCATCACCTTTATTAAATAGAGGAAACTTGGGAATACAAGTCTAGAAAGAAACTGAGAGCTAGTATTATACTAATTCTGTACATTGCATATGTGGTAATGCATTTCCTTCTTCGTAATATGGTCAGTGTACTAAAGGGCAGGGGCTTGGTGAGCTGGGTGTATAAATTCAAAATTCCTTTCTGCTACTTGCTTTACGGAGCTTATTCACTGAATATTTGAGGCAAGGTTTAGCGCCCCGCGAACAGTGTGAAGCTGTCAGTTTTTAGCATGCTGCCCGTGGTGGTGCTGCTGCGGATCTTGACGGTCTGTTCTTGTCTTGGCGTGTGGTGTGCTGCAGATTGTGCGAAGCTTCAGCTCTGGTAAAAGAGAAGGCGGTGACTTCGTTTGCTGCGCCCTGTCTCCGCGTGGTGAATGGATCTACTGTGTGGGAGAGGACTTCGTGCTCTACTGTTTCAGCACCGTCACCGGCAAACTGGAGAGAACGTTGACGGTGAGTATTACCACGGCCGTTAAAGAAGCTATGGCACTGCTCATGTTTTTCCAAACTCTGACGTGCACACCTTTTGCAGAGTGACTGCTCTCATTGTGACCTTCCATATAAAAATACGTAATGGAAGCATTTTATCACAAAGCAAGATTGTGGGTAAATTGTGTGAAATTGCTAAATTGCTTCCATTATTAGGGTGTCATTCTTTAGCAACCTCCCCCCGAGATGCAGGTGGATAGAATGAGTTTACAGACAGCAGAGACTGAAGGACACACACAACACACACACACACACACCCTACACACACACACCCCGCCTACACACACCCCCTACACACACACACACCCCC